TTACAAAACCATAATGAAATGGACAAAACCATAATGAAATGGAGTTACAAATTCTTTGTGTACAAAAGCCGTGTATGAGCATGTATTGAGCTTTATAAACGGCATAAACGAAGGAGTCATTTCTTGGCCAGACAGTGATGAGCAAGAGTGGATCAAGATTGGCTTTTTGCTGAGGAGCAAAGGTAAAGGCCCAAGCAACACTGAAGGCTGCAATGCAACAACATTGATTGATTTGTGGGGTTTAACGTCCCAAAATCACCATATGATTATGAGAGACGCCGTAGTGGAGGGCTCCAGAAATTTTGACCACCTGGGGTTCTTTAACGTGCGCCCAAATCTGAGCACACGGGCCTACAACATTTCCGCCTCCATCGGAAATGCAGCCGCCGCAGCCGCGATTCGATTCCGCGACCTGCGGGTCAGCAGCCGAGTAACTTAGCCACTAGACCACCACGGCGGGGCACCGAAGGCTGTGTGGACAGTTGCCACATAGACACTAAAAAGCCAAAAGAGTCATTGCATTCGTACTTCAATACTTCAGCCGCAGGAGATTTCCATCTGTCAATATGGAATGATGGGAACAATTTCATTGACGTCTTACTAGGATTTCCTGGATCTGCACACGATTTCAGGGTGTTTTATGAAGGCCCTTTTTTCGACATAAGACAGACGTGTGCCGACAGTTACCTGCTTGGAGAGACTGCATACTCCTTGCTTTCGGGGTTGTTGATGTCATACTGGGATAATGAGCAGACTTTTCCAGCATAGAAAAAACGCTAAAACAAGTACCACCCTCAGGAGAGATCTGCCATTGAAATGCCTTTGGTCATCTGAAACAATGCTTTCGAAAGCCTTGCTTTGTTAATGCTGTTACAGTCAAACAGTGCTGCTTTATAATAATTGCTGCTTGTGTACTGCACAAGGTATGCAGTAAAGAGAAAGACTTCTTTGTTGAGCTCCAAGAAATTGCCCGGCTGAAAGAAGTTAAAATGATAATGAGAGTGATGTAACAGACCAAAGTTTTGCAGCATACAGAAAATTCTCAATTTTTGCCACATTGACTTTCAATGGCAGTCACCAGGCATTCGAGAAGGCTCATTAACTGCACCTCTCTCTCTTTCTGGCTTTTCTTGAATTCGTGCTGGAGATCTTGAATCGGAGTGCCATGTACTCTTTTCGTTTTTTCTATTTTCTGTGACTGGCTTGAAGTTTCTCCTTCAGCTGCAGCCGCTTCGTGTTTGCCAAGTTCTGCATCGGCAGCCTCAAACCCACTCGCTGCCGAGGGATCATTTGGCACGGCTGCATCGAGGCTGTCCCTGAAACGAAATGTTACCTCACAAACATGAAATGTTTACATTTCATGAACAATTTTTCTACCTGTTTTTCGTTAATCACCCTTTCTGGGGCAATCGGCATGGTCGGGAACATCGCTCAGTTCTCTAGAAGTAAAAAAATATGGCTAATGGGTTGATGAATAGTTGAATATTACCTGTACTCACCCTTCTAATTCTCAAGACACCTTTCCTTTGCCTGAGGAGTTATTTTCGGGCCCGATGAGTTTGCCTGCCCGCTCGGGACTTTTCATTTATTTTGGACTTAGGAGTGGTCTACACGGGTCTTTATACTATTTTGATATGATGCCGGCAAGTGTTTGCTAAAGGGTCTTTTTCATGCTGAGAGAAATATGATCACAAATAGAAAGGCTTGGCATGTGTTAAAAAGATGTACAGACACAGTCACCGACCGGTTATTTGAACTCGACGGGAATCGCCGAAAAGGCCAAATAATCGGGAGTCCGGAAAAAAGGATTGACCCCCCAAAAAGCACTTTTTCTGATCTTGAAAATTTTGCGCAAGCACACAAAAAGAAATACAAACGTGTGCAATCTAACAACTGGGTTATTTTTCGAAAGTTTTCGAAAGTGCAAGTTTAACATTGAGGGGGGTCTTAGAAAAAATATGCTAAATACTGTTCTTATTTCAATATAAGGTGGCCATGATTATAAGGCGAGGGGGAGTTGAAGAACCAAAGAAAAGGAAAAAAGTTTGCACACTAATATTAGGCGAGATTTTTGCTAAAAATCTTATTTGATATCCCACCTTTTAAGTGCCCAATAATCAGCCGTGCCACTGTATAATCATTATGTCATCATCAAAAGCATCACTGCTTTTTTGTTGCTCTCGCATTCCCAAACTTCACTATCTTTGACGCCAACCAGCGAGTTGGAATAGGAGCACTTCTTGAAAGAAGCTGCCACCATTGTGTTGGGTATGGCTGCCCAAGTGTCAGCTATTCAGCGAGCCTCTACGGACAGAGATGCACGCTTCAAATGGCCCGGCAGTGTCAGGTAGACCGCCACCGAGAGCACCTGGTTGAAGGCTCGAGGTACCATGTGTAGGCACCTGAGCAGGCGCCAGGCACGAGCACCACCATTGGAGTCGTTCATCGAGCGGCGAATGCTCCCCAAGATTTGGTTCCTAAACCTGAGAGTATGGTGTCTGCACACTACGCCGACTCTCCGGAATACAGTCTAAAGCTCCAGTAGGGCCTTCGCGGGCCTTGTCGCTCTGCTCGCCGCCGTGCTCCCCTCAGAGCCAGGTGTTTCATGTTCGAGATGGGCTGCCCCTGCCCCTGCTGGCCCATGGCGACGATCGTTGCTGCCCTGGAACTGTCGGCCCCCAACTGCATCAGGTCCCTGTCACTTGTGTCTTCCTCGAACAGCTGCCAGTAGACCCGCCAGCCCACCACATAGTATTCACGGTCCCTGAGGGCTCAGCCGCAATAGGGAGACAGTAGGAGGGGCAGATGGTCGGAGCCCACGTGTCCTGAGCCCTTGACCATGAGTACTGGCATCCATCCGTGGCGGCCCCAATGTCGATGGCCGTGCGGGCTGCCCGGCTCCCGGCACGAATGAAAGTAGGGAAGCCGGTGTTCACTATCACCAGCCCAGCTTCTGCAGGACGTCCTTCAGAGCCCTGCCCCGTGGGGTGGTCTTGTGGCTGCCCCACGCATACGTGGTGTGCGTTTACGTTCCCGCAGCGCACGAACTACCTCCCAGCCTGTGTGCCAGCTCGTAGGCACCTAGGGTTTCAAGGCTGGTTTGGCCGAACCAGCCTTGGAACCACTGAGAGTACCGTCTCCACGGTGGTGTCACCCCCTCGAGGCGTACTCGAATGGCGCAGCATTCGAAGGCGCGACCGACCAGGTCAACCACAGACACCTGGGCCTGGTGGAGTTCACGCTTCACGTAGACGGCACACCGGGCTCCCTTCATTTGGTGGCGATCGTTTGGGTAGGGGGTAGCAGGGCAGGCTTCCAGGGTATGCTCGATCTTGCTGCTGTAGCTCACGTACCCTGGCAGGCGCACCTCCAGCCCGGTATCGACCTCCTGCAAGTTCAGAACCTCTAGGTCGACCTTCTCAAGATGCTTGTAGAAGTAAGCCCGCCGTCCCTGCAGAGAGTTGACATTTTCCAGTATAATGCTCGGACGGCGAGGTAAACGGGCTCTGGCAGGAGCACTAGCCATGTTGGTTAGAAAGGTGCTGCAAAGCCACTGCCTGCAGGCAGATCGCACGTAGAGGGTGTTCGGCTGGCAGCAGGGCGACGGCCAGCTGCATGAACAGCAAAAGGTAGGCTGTTATCTGGTCGTGTTGGCAGGGTGAGTGCCACCTCAGTTGACACACCGCGGCCGCGTCTTTGGGAAGTCTAGCACCTTAGGGTGGGTCCGACCGCAGCGTATTGCAGCTTTCAGGCCAGCTGCAGCGTTCCTTGACATGGCGAAACTGGCCACACTGCCCACACTGGAGTGATTGGGGCCTGGTCGGTCGTACAGGGAAGTGCATACGGAACAGCGTCGCATGTTCTGGGGGAACAGGTCTCCGAACTGCAGGGTGTTCGTGCGGCCCTCCCTGGTGGCCAACAACACAGGCACTGTGAACAGAAGGCCAGGCAGCAGGGTCTCCGCCTCTGGGTCTCCGTCGATGCCATGCAGTAGCCAGTGCTTGTCCGGTGGTCTTCCGGCTCCTTGGCAATGAGTGGGATGCACTGCAGCACTGAAATGGCCACTAGCATTTCAGGCATTCCCTGATGGTCACGTTCAGCGCCACAATGTTGTGGCGATAGTTCACCCTGATTTCAGCAACATCAGGGCATGACAAGAGTGCCTGGGCAAAGCTCAAGCAGGGCATCCGCGTTGCATCTCCCGGAGCTTAGGGCCTGTAGAGCACCGTCCCCATGACCGCAGGGTTGACTGGCAGGGCAACAGCAGCCAGTTTTTTCCCACGCCCCAGTGTAGCCTTCAATCGTACCTCATGAAAGGCCCTTCGGCATCTGGCTGGTCCTCCGGAACGCTGGAGACAGCAGGGCGCTGGACTAATGGCGGCTTCGCTGAGGCATAATAGCCTTTAGGAGCAGGTGGAGGTCTCCCAGGAAAGTGGATGACAGGAATGCCCGGGCTGGCTTGCTGCCTTTCTTCCTGCGAAAGCTCAGCATGCCTTGTGCTGGCACGCCCTTCACGAAGGCTGCCGCTGCCTCTTGGGTGGTCTGCCGTGCATTCACCTGCTCAATGGACAGGTGCTCATAGATTGCCTGAGTTTCCATGGGAGAGGCAGCTGTTGCAGAGTCATCCCTCTCAAGTGGGCCACAACACATACTTGAAAAGAAAATGCTTTTACCAACTTTCTGACAAAACTGAAAGCTGCTTCTGTGAGCACTGTTAGTTCTTAGATTCTTGCACCGCACTGTCACTGCTTTGAACATCATGTAGGTTTGGTTTGGTAAGACAAATTTTAGCTTTTGTCTTTCAAGAGATCCCCGCACTGTCAGCATGGCACCTTTTTCAAAACTGCTTGTACTGGGTGTCCTGACGCATAAACTATGTTCAGTTCTGGTTTATCTGCTGGTTCCTCGGTGTCTTACTGATTTGGGCAGAAGTTTCGGCCACAGTAGGACTTTCTTCATTTCTTTAGCCCAGTAGAATAACATCTTTATTTGTTTTCCAGTTGCTGCAAAGAGCTTCTTGAAAATGATGGGCCTGAGAGCAGCAATGGACTCAGATGTGTTTGGAGTCTTATTGCAGCCGTGGTGCTGCCGAGTTAAAGAAGTTCTCCAAGAGGGTCCTGCATCAGAGGACAAGTAAGCATAATTTTAAAATTACAGGATTCTTGTAGGTCTGCCCACAATGTACAAATCGCTTGAATCGTCACATGCCAGCCCTGAATGGTTTTTGCCTTGGTCTTGAATCTCCATGCAATGCAAGCATTCAGTGTGCCTTGTTGAAGTATCAATTACATAACTAATTTTTTCTACGCAAGAACTGTTAGATGAGTCAATGATCGATTTTTCCAATGAACTCTGCCATGTTTCTGGTTACTGGTGGTAGAGCACTAAATGCTATGAATGCTTCTATTTCTAGATAGACCCTGTTGCTCATCTCAAGGGAGACTCGACTTCACTTTCATTATACCAAATGCACTTTCGTAGATGTAGCTGTCAGTCATTTTGGGCAGGTGTCAAAGTTTTAAGGGTTCCACTCCATGCACGGCAACAAGTGTTATTTAAGGTTTGGGGAACATGCTTAGTTGTGTATGTCAGAGATGCTGGCTCAGATTGCAAGGAATAGGACACAAGGGGCACAGCGAACATATATTTAAACAGAAACGAGCACAAGCAAAACAAATACAAAAACAGAGCAAGCAAAATAGCATACAAAGCGTCGTTAAGAAGTCATTTCAAACAAATGGCATGCTTACCCATTTGAAGATCGATGAAGCAGCCCAGGCAGCGTTGATGCTGTTGAGTGAGAAGGGCCAGGCGGGCTGTCGCAGTTACTGTGTCCGCTGCGCCGGAGCAGAAGGCGTGCTGTTTACGAAGTCCTTCGGTTGTTGGCTTCCCATGAGGTATATTCTGGCAGTGCTGGCCTCCTGAACGTTGACGTCTAGCCAGGCCAACGCGTCTTCTTCGCTACAGCTTCTCTCTCAGTCTGATCGGCCAACGTGGTTTGTTCTTTTTTCTTAGCACGCACCATGTGGGCACGTGCTGGGAGATAAGTTGAAGGTGGCTGAACGGCTCTTGCTTCAGTGCATGTGCTTGTGCGTCTTGCCGTCACTTTATTGACCTCTCAGCACCATCAGGGGACCTCACCACAGCAAGTTCTGCAGTGTCGTGGATACATAAAAAAAGTTACGCATTTATTTCTTCCTCACTGAACACTAATCTTTGTATAGCAACACCCGCTGCGTAGCATGCAATTAAAATAGTTACACAAGGACAAAGCGCTGGTGTCTTCCCCGCAGGGGCGCCTGCGCAAGTAGGCGTTTGGTGTGTAGCGACACCACGGACCCGAGCTAACGAGGGAGTTTCTTCTCCCTCCCACGCCTAGCCGTGCGTGGCTTTACCGTGTCCGGGGAAAAGGGGGATTCTGGGGGTTGAGCCGACGCTGGGTGATTGGACCTTTAAGGCCCCCCGGCAGAGGCAACACACCCTTTTGGCCCCGGCTTTTCGTAGACGGCACCCCTGGGCTGACCCACCCAGGCGAAACTGGCAGTCCCCTTTTCCTATCTCTCTCTCCCTACATCTTCGTCTTTCTTACTTTTTTAGCTTCCTGTCTACTTCTCTCTTCTGCTTACTTCCAATTTTCTCGGCGGCAAGGGTTAACCCTGTGCAAATAGCCTACCTTGGCCTAGGCGCATTGAGTTATAGCAGGGTTGTACGGCTGACGTCTGCAAGCTTTCAGCATCCGCAAACTTGCAGCGTCCCCTCGTTGGGCTCCGTGGTGGGTGGCCGCCAACGCTGCTGAACAACATTCAATTAGCATGCACAAAGCATTCCCTTTACTTAGTGATCGTGCCTCCTCAAAGCGGGTACGCACCGAAGACATCAATTTTTTTATTCGGCCTAGACAAATCTTTCCTCATTTTCATGTTATACACTGCGAAAAAACTAACAAACAAGCCAGAACTGTATCCCCCTTCATAGTGGCTAGGTGCCTAACCGAAACTCTCGGCGCTGGGTACAAGGTTACCAAAATGGCCAGCGGAGATCTACTCCTTGAAATACGTGACCAAAACCAATTCGATAAACTGAACACCCTCACAACGTTTGGAGACACAACCATCAGTATTACGCCACACAGGTCCATGAACTCATCTCTCGGGGTCGTATCGGACGTAGATTTGCTTGAGCTGACCGAAGCTGAACTTCTGGAAGGATGGAAGAGCCAGAACGTGACAAACGGACAGCGTATTAAGATCAGAAGAGATCAAAAGGAAATCCCAACCAAACACTTAGTACTGACCTTTGCTTCGAGCGATTTGCCGGAAACTATTCAGACTGGGTACACAAAGACATCCGTGAGACCATATATTCCCAACCCCCACCGTTGCTTCCAATGTCAGAGATATGGCCACGGCTCGCAAAGCTGTCATGGCCGGAAAACTTGTGCTCTGTGTGGAGTCGTGGGCCATGCGTCCGACAACTGCGAAGCACCTGCACACTGTGTGAACTGTGGGGGTAATCATGCGGCGTACTCACGTTCCTGTTCTTTCTGGAAAAAAGAAAAATAGACCATCACGTTAAAGATAAAAGAAAACATTACATTTAAAGAAGCAAGAAAAAGAGTCTCGCCATTTTATGGCCCCACATATGCTGATGCGGCGTGCCAGGGGGCAGTGTCGCACCAGCCCTCGCCACTCCTTCGGCCTGCGCAGTGCGAGCCATTGGCTGTGGCGCCTGCCCCCAAGGCGGCAGTAGTTGAGTCTACTCCGCCTACTATTGGAACAGAGACCAGAGACTCCAGGGTCCTCGGGTCTCAAGGCCTCGCCTTGCCAGGCGAGGCCCAAGCTTTGAAAAACCAGCTCGCATGAGTTGGCATCCAGTGCCTCCGAGGAGGCAATGGATACGGCGGCACCCTTTGTGCCAAAAGAGCGGCGCGGCTCTCTGGAGGGCGCCAAGAGAACTAAAAAGCTCATAACAGGGCCTGATAATAGCCCTGTTACTTGAGCTTGACCTTTCACCTTAAACAAGTCACTCCCTTAACGTACACACAGCACTACTTTACTTCCAATATGGAAACACAAATTATTCATTGGAACGTCAGAGGCCTGCTTAAAAACCTCGACGACGTCCAAGAGCTTTTATACAAACACTGACCTCAAGTGCTGTGTGTACAGGAAACACACCTAAAATCCTCCAATACAAATTTTTTACGTGCTTACGTCATATACCGAAAGGACCGAGATGATGCTGTGGCGTCATCCGGTGGCGTAGCCATTATTGTTAACCAAGGAGTAGCGTGTACACATTTACCACTCCAGACATCCCTTGAGGTGGTGGCTGTTCGAGCGCTACTTTAAACAAACTCGTCACCATCTGCTCTTTGTATGTACCTCCCCACCAACGTCTTGAAAGACGTGAATTCCAGTGTTTAATAGACGAACTGCCTGAACCTTATTTGCTTCTTGGAGACCTAAATGCACATAGTGGACTGTGGGGCGATTCTCGCTGTGTTGCACGAGGTCGTCTCATTGAACAATTCTCTTCTCTTCCGGTGCCTGTTTGTTGAATAGGAAAGAGCCAACATACTATAACGTTGCCAACAAAACTTACTTGTCTATAGACCTCAGCATCGTATCACCTTCACTCCTACCCCTACTGAGATGGAAAATCATAAGTAATCTATATGGAAGTGACCATTTTCCTGTAGTGTTCAGTTCACAAACAACATATGAATGTCCTGTACATGTTCCCAAATGGCTGATGAACAAAGCAGACTGGGAACAGTTCCACAACACTACACGTTTGAGTTAGACAGACATATGTAGGTTAGACATAGATGAAGCTGTGCAGTACTTCACAGCTTTTCTAACTGACGCAGCAGCCAGGTGCATACCGCAAACATATGGAATGCCCGACAAACGACACGTCCCATGGTGGAACACAGAGTGTCGTAATGCGCGAAAGGAACAGAACAGGGCATGGAGGCTGCTTCGAAACTCACCAACAGCCGAAAATCTTGACGCCTTCAAGAAAATAAAGTCCTAAGGCAGGAGAACGCGTCGGAAGGCCAGAAGAGAAAGCTGGCAGAAGTTTTTATCGGGGATCAATTCATACACACAGGAGGCTAAAGTCTGGAACATGGTTGGTAGGATAGCAGGAAAACAAGTACACACACTTCCACTCGTAAACACTCAAGGTGATACCTTGGAAGATGATTGGAGACTTTAATGCGCATAGCAGGCTATGGGGTGACTCTCGGTATGACGCGCGAGGTCGACTGATCGAACAGTTCCTTATCTCGTCGAGCGCGTGTCTCCTAAATCGAAAAGAACCAACCTATTATAACCTCGCTAATAACACCTACTCCTCCATAGACCTGAGCATAGTATCTCCATCTCTTGTGCCTCTACTCCAGTGGAAAGTCGTCAGTAATCTGTACGGAAGTGACCACTTCCCCGTAGTTTTGAGCACAACGACAGTAACTGAGTGTCCACCACGTGTTCCCAAGTGCCGACTGGGAGCCGACTGGGAACAGAGCCGACTGGGAAGTTTCATACTATCGCTTGTCTAGGTTGGAATGACATCTGTACTTTGAACATTGATGTTGCTGTGAACTACTTCACAGCGTTTTTGATTGATGCTGCAAAAAAAATGCATCCCACAAACAAATGGACACCCTGGAAAACAATGTGTGCCATGGTGGAACTCTGAATGCCGAAACGCGCGCAAACAGCAAAACAGAGCTTGGAGGCTGCTGCGGAACTCACCGACAGCCGAAAATCTTGAAACCTTCAAGAAAATAAAGTCTCAAGGCAGGAGAACGCGTCGGCAGGCCAGAAGAGAAAGCTGGCAGAAGTTTTTATCAGGGGTTAATTCATACACACAGGAGGCTAAAGTCTGGAACATGGTCGGTAGGATAGCAGGAAAACAAGTACACACACTTCCACTCGTAAACACTCAGGGTGATACCTTGGAAGATCAGGCAAACTTCCTCGGTGCACACTTTGAACGGGTATCCAGCTCGTCCCACTATACTGACACTTTCCAAAATACAGAACAAGAATAGAAAAGCAGAAACTCGAACACAAATCCACTAGATACGAAGCATACAATCAAGCTTTCAGTTTAGCTGAGCTCCG